CCCCCCCCACACACACACACACACACGTATGTGGAGGGAGGCTACCTACGTTCACCAGGGTGAACCCCAACGTACAGGCACCAAGATGGGGGGCAATAAGTATGCCCACTCCTGCTTGGCACCTCTCAACAGGCAACTCCAGAGTGGAAGAGTGTTCTTCAAGGAGACTGGTTCCAGAGCCAGAGCGGTGTATCGAGGTATCCGACTATATCTAGTCAGAACCTCTCAAATTCACACACCAGCTCAGGCTCCTTCCCCACCAGAGAGGTGACATTCCATGTTCCTAGAGCCAGCTTCTGTAGGCGAGGATCGGACCGCCAAGGTCCTCACTTTTGACCAATGCCCAACACACATTGCAACCGACCCCTACGGCCCCTCCAACAGGTGGTGAGCCCATGGGAAGGGGGACCCACGACTCCTCTTCAGGCTGTGCCTGACTGGGCTCCAAGGGTAAAAGCCCAGCTACCAGGTGCTCGCCAACATGCCCCACCTCCAGTCCTGGCTTCAGAGTGGGGCCCCAGTGACCCGCGTCCGGGCAAGGGAACACTGAATCCATCCATTTTATTCATCATAGGTGTCTTTGGGCTGCACTTTGTCTGATCCCACACCTAGGACCTGTTTGCCTTGGGTGACCCTACTGGGGGCATGAAGCCCCCGACAACGTAGCTCCTAGGATCATTGGGACACTCAAACCTCTCCACCACGATAAGGTGGGAGCCCAAGGAGAGGACCCTACCCTAACCCATTGCCTAAAATTAACCACTCAGATAGATGCATTAGTCTTCATTAGGCCTAACCTCAGTGAACTGTAAACAGTCACTAGAAGAAACTTTTCTAAACAATGTAAACATTTATTTTTGATTAACCTCTATGTAAACCTCCCTTCTCTGAACCTTCCTTCCTCTCTATGAACATAAACACTCAATGTACTGGCTGAGTTTTACTCACACAGTACGCCTACACTCACCGGAATATGAAAACATATTCCACTACACCTTACACAGCACATACAAATCAACAGGCTGTCTCCAACTGGAACAGCCGACTCCACCATGCACTTCCCATAAGGTTGGGACCCAATGGCCCAGGACTGGAGCTGATCTCGAGCAAGCGTGCACTTTTTATTTACTGTTATTTAACCAGGCAAGTCCTGTTGAGATCTCAGATCTCTTTTTCAAGGGAGGCCTGGGCCTGATTGTGCAGGTTTTTGGGGGTGGGGGAAGCCGGAGTACCCGGAGAGGACCCATGCAAGCACAGGGGTAACATGCAGGCTCCGCACGGGGAGACCCTAGGTCTGAGCCAGGGATTGAACTCAGGACCTTCTTGCTGTGGGGTGTTGCCACCTCCTACAAGGGATTTACCAACTCTGTGGAGCCATCAGGCAGCTGGTGGGACCCTCTGAGTAAACACTCCCCAAATTTAACCCTAACCCTTAAAGTCCTGTAGACAAACACTAAATTGAGTGTGGAACCATGGATCCAGGCAGGAACAAACAGAAGTTGGCATCTTAGTGATTACCTTGAGTCATGTTGAAGGCATCCAGTTAAGATGATGCCTGTGTAGATGTTGGCATTTCCCAAGTTGATACTTATGTCTCTAAGTTGATCCTGAATGAAGCCCTAATGTCTTCAAAGAGGATACCCAGGAGTGCTCGGTTGCAGGCTCAGCGGGAACATGTCGTCATGGAGACAACCAGATGGCAGGTTGGACATCATCTTGCAGGTGGGCACCCAGACGGCAAACAATTATGATTCCCAAATAAGACTGGTTACTTATACAGGCAGATCAAAGTTTTTTTTCCTATTTGAAAATAAAGAAATAGAATAGAATAGAGTCTGGAGGTGGCTGTGGTGCAGTGGTAGGGCAGCCAACTTGGGACCAGAAAGTCACAGGTTCAACTCCCTGCCATGCCCACATATTGTGGTGTCCTTAAGAAAAGAAAAACAACCTCCAAGTGCCTAAATAGCTACCCGCTGCTCCACCTGGGTGTTTCTTGTGTGAGGGGTCAAATGCAGAGCACAAATTTTGTCATTGTATGGAAACATGCACTGATGACAAATAAAGCACATTTACATTTTTTAAATAATATAGGTTCTTCATGCTACACACTCTTACGAACTACCAGGTAGTACAGTGGTGCAATAGCAAAGGTAAACAAGGACTGAAGCTCCTCATTTGGATTTCAAGAGACAGTACCAAAACCAGCTGATTTGAGACACCTCAGAAAAGTGGGAAAGAGAGGATTGTGGAGTTACAATAAGGAGGAATTCAGACCAAAGCATTGCAGTTTGACTTCATACAGACATTGAATGGTTTAAATGTGAAAATAAGGATTTAAAAGCATGATATGTCTTATTATTAAATATTAACCTTAAAACCTTCATGCTAGCTTCATTTGTTCACAATTTTTACACAGATCCCCACTTCAAATTGGCTAAAATATCTTTTCACATAAAAAACTTGGGCAACAACAAAAAAGAAAAACCACAGTGCTGCTTCAGTACAGACAAAAGAAGAAAAAACAGCTAAATTGTAGGTTTGTGTGTGTTTTTCACGAATAAAACAGGAAATGCTGTGAATCACCGCACTGAGGTGGGCTGTGGAAGAAAACAACAGCTTTTGATGAGTGTGCCTCTGTGCTGATGTGATCCATCGTTTTTATCAGCACTGCCAATTATAAATACTTTTCATTATTCAAGGAAGATGGAGTCAGTCACACTCTGCTTAATTCTATCTAAAAGCAGAAGCCCTTTATTCTATATTCATATCTCACTTATTTTGAAAGATCCATGAAGGCAGATGTTGGGTAAAAGACAAAATGCAGTCTACTTGAAGAATTTAAAAGGAAGTCTCTCTTCTTGTTTTTTTCCCCTGCTCTGATTTATCAACACATTTAGCCAAGCTTTACAGGCTCCCCAAAAAACAATGCTGATGAGTCAAATAAGAGTTATAGTTTTAATCACCACTGTTTTCACACTGATGGCATTTCTGTGGGGGCTTTGCATGCTAATTAAGTAGTCCACCAATAGGAAGGGCAAGAGTAATTATTTTCATGATTGGGGTCAAAACCCTTGCATTTAATCCTGAGCTCCCCCACACACGAAGAGCAAACATCAGTAAACAGCTCCCATCATGTCCAACTCACTTACACAGAAGCAACTCTTATGAATATACTTTGTTCCTCTTCAAAATTTTTATGATGAAAGGTTTGCCACATCTTTTGATACTGTCTTCCTTCGCTTACTGTGTCAAACCAGGATCTAACCATGTGAGAAAACATAGAAACTACAACCCCAATTCCAATGAAGTTAGTACGTTGTGTAAAACGTTTATAAAAAGAGA